AAACTTTTGAACGTTTAAACAATCATTGAACTTATTTGCGTTAATATGTAGAAAAAGAAATTGAAAAATAAGAACTCAATTTACTCTTACTGCAGATTGAAAAAACAAAACCATCTTCTGTTGGATGGATGTTTTGTTATTTGATTCCTATTTGTTATTCTTCTCATGTGAACGAGGATCAATTGTCACAACAGAAAAAAGAGAGAACAGTATAAAAGCTTTTTTCCTGTATTTTATCTGTTGATCATCAAATATTGGCATGAAGTGTGACACTATCTTATGTTAATTGCTTCAATGAATCGAGATACATAGACCCATATGCTTCGAGGAACACATACAACCAGTAACAGGCAGGAATATTCATCGTTTCTCTTCGGCTTTTATTTGAATTTGCTTGATGACTGTTACCATAAACAACTTCAGAAACTTTTAATAAATCTCTTCGAAGTCTTTGGAAAGTGAATTGTTTTTATAATGACTATTTAAAGAAGAGATGTTAGGTGATACATTTGTATGTTTGTCTCAAAGATCATTTTGTTTTTGACAAAAATCAAGTTTTCGAAAGGGAATGTGATGTTAAATCGTTGAAATAAATAGAATTTAGAAACCTGAGCATTTTCTCTTTGTAATTATTAATAAACCGTTTGTCTTTGAAAAAACAAATTCGTCCAGTCATTCTTCATTTGATAAAATACCGTTTGATCTTTTAATTTATTTTTCATCAGAAAATAAACAAACAAATAAGTGTCAGTAATAATATCTTAGACAATTTTATTACTGCAATATCAGTATTAATATTTTATAAAAAAATCAAGAAATAATCATTGAGATTTACTTCAAGGAGGATTTTCACAGACTTTTTTCTTGCATATGTTAAACTGTTGTTTTCTAAAATAATTAAACCATCAATTGTTTTTCTTCCTTTCCATTTTTAGTTTTTTCATTCAATCAACCAAAATTTTGTCCAACAGCAGCTTGGAATCCAATCGGAATCACTTTTGCTAATCAAACAACAATTGGTGAAAAACCTGGCGCCATTTTCATCAATACGAACAATATAATTTATGTTTATTATAGAGAAAACAAACAACTTTTAGTGTATCATGAAGGTCATATCAATCCAACAAAGATCGTTCCTATCAACTCTTCGACTCCAAATTCTATTTTCGTTACAACTAATGGTGATATTTATATTGATAATGATGAAGTTGTTCTAAAATGGATATCGAATAAAAACACATTTGACACTGTTATGAATGGTATATCACAATGTCAGGGTTTGTTTGTCGATATCAACGATACTCTGTACTGTTCAATGGCTTTTCGTCATCAAGTTGTGAAAAGATGGATCAATGATTCTGTCATGACACCGACTATCGTAGCTGGGGCAGATAGACCAGGACCTGCTCCGAATGAGCTTAATTTACCTTTTGGAATCTTTGTTGATGTGAATTTTGATTTATATGTGGCAGATTGTGAAAATAATCGAGTTCAGTTGTTTCAATTAGGACAATCATTTGGCATCACAGTAGCTGGAGCTGGATCACTAAATCCCACAATTTCACTTTCATGTCCACGTGGAATTGTATTAGATGCTCAGAAATATTTATTCATTGTGGATTATGGGAATAGTCGTATTATTGGATCAGGACCAAATGGTTTTCGATGTTTAGTTGGATGTCATGGACCTGGTTCACAATCCCATCAACTGTCGTCCCCGATGAGTCTTAGTTTCGATCGTTCGGGTAACATGTTTGTAGCTGATGAGGACAATGATCGAATTCAAAAATATTTGTTGAAAAAGCCTTGTGGTAAGTTGAAAATAGTTGAATGAGATGATGAATAAAATAAAGCTTTGTTTGAGAAAGGTAAATTTTAAAGAAAAGAACAAATTCTTGATTAGATTTCTGTTTGGATGAGTTGTTTGATGAATAAATAAGATAAAAAAGCTTGAATATGAAATAATTGAATAAAAGAAAATAAACAAGTATGTGAAGATTGAATGAGCAATGAAATATTTCGATTGATTATAAATATTTTGGAAGAAGATTATTTAAAAGTTTCAGTACTTTTGCAACAGTAAAATTGATTCGTAGTGAGGAAGATCTTTTGATATAATTAATTTAAAAGAATCAATATAACCATCTAAAAGATTTTATATCGTAATCAATCTATAAATAATTTGTGATTTTCTAATTTCAATTCAGTTGTGGAGACTTATGACACTGAAGAGTTGACAATGAATTGAGCGAGAACTGAGTTATTTATGTGAATTTTATCCAAATAGAATACTTTTTCATTCGAATTCAGTAATGTTTCAGGGTAACGATGTGAAAATCTGGTTGAGAGGTAATTTTGGTTCTGAACGTGTCGAGTGAAGATGGAATTAGTCGATCCCATCAATATAGGAGGAGATCCTTCCTCAAGAATTTGATTACCTTGGTCATTCTTCATCAACCAAGGAGATTTTCGTAAGCTCTTTTCGTCATTAACGTAAGGATAAAACAGTGTGTCGTTTGCGTCGATCAGAGACTTTTTTGAGGGATCCTCTTCCATATGGTTCGAATTATGTCCTGTTTTCTCTTTTCGAAATCAAGTTTTGACCATCAACATGAAGAATAATAAACAAAATAAAAGATGAATTTGAGTGATTTCGCAATGACTCTGCGTGATTCTGATGATTGGAAACGATTTGAGGTGCTCTGCTATTCAGAATCAATTGTTTCTTCCTTGAGTACAGATTATCAGTTGAATACGTTGAGAAAGTGTATCCGAAAGAAAACGAATGAATATCCCGAAATACTTGAATGCATGTGTACATACAAGAAAACTCGATTGCTTTTGTTTTTCATTTAGTCTATCTTTCATCACATTTTCAAACGATATATTCATCGTCATTGACTACGAACAGTCAAATATATTTCAGAGATTGTAGTGAATCAAGCTTTTATTATGAATCTATTCAAGTAAATGTAACTGAGTATGGTTATTATACTTTTCGTAGCTATAGCACGAGTGATACATATGGATATATTTACAAAAACAAATTTAATCCAATTAATTCATCTGAGAATTTCCTCAAAGAAGATGATGATAGTGGTTCTGATAATCAGTTTAGACTTGATATTCTTCTTGATGTCGACATTACATATGTATTGGTTGTAACAACATATACTTTAAGTACGGTCACAACATTCCGGATCGCTGTATTGGGTACAAACAATGTCGCTCTCAAGCGTCTTAGTGAGTATATACTTATATATATTATTTAGTGAATAATCAGTACAGAACATAGAATATATGTATTCATTGAATTACTGCTGTCATTTTAAGAGAAGGTTAAAAGTGTCACTATTATTCAATTAATAGTCATTCCCAAGCACGAAAAAAGCAGCGAGCATCGCTCAATGCATCTAGATTGATTAGATACAATGACAGATACAGCTAGTTGTTTAGAAAAAAGAGAAAAGTTGAATCCAGCATCGCTCAATGCAGCTAGTAAAAAGTTCTCTTCAAGTGTTTTAACAAGTCGATGCAAAATCGATGCATTCATTGTGACATCGGGCGATGCATCGCCTCTCTGATCTCTTCAATAGTATTTGATTATTACTAGATGCATTGCCTCTTACATCTGGTGTATCGCTTTTACTAGATGCATCTAGATAACTAGATTATTTTTACTCATTTGGCTAGATGCTCGTGCTGGGGCATAGCTAGATGCACCAGCTAGTGCATCTAGATATTTTTGCTTGGGTTGTTATAACTAGTTTAATCTCTCAAATGAAGTTGATCGAATCTTGAGATTTTGTTAAATGAAATATAAAAGGCAGATGAGAAGTCGAATGTCATTAGTTCTTGCAGATTGACACTCTCAATTATTTTATTGGGTATATAGTGTGTTTATGATTTCATGTCATACTTGATCAGTTATCTATTGGAATATCGAATAAACTTCGAGAAAAATACATTTTAATCTAAACTTTTTTATTTTCCAACAAATCGAGCTGGCTCATTTAGAGTCCCGCGGGACAAACTTTTCTGTTGCCCCGAGCCCGTAAGCCCGAACCCGAACAGAAAAACTTTTGTCCCGTCCCGTAACCCCAAGCCCGTGAGCAAATAACGTTGTCCCGAACCCGTCTGTCCCGCGAAAAAAATTATGGGCTTTTCTGCCCCATCCCTTTTGTCCCGTAATTTTCTGAAAAAGTTTTTCTGCTGTGATAAATCGGAACTATTACAAGCGGCGCCTAACGTCTCAAACTCAATCTTGCAAAAAATCCGCATGACAAAATTCAAGCCGGTTTTATTTATTTGGGTCTAAACTTAAAAGTTGCAGTATAAAAGAATGCTTTACATCCACTCACTAGCTCGGAATCGAAAGGAAAGAACGGTAAACCTAGTTTTAGATATGGAACATCTTCTCAACTTTAAATCCGGATTATTTCGCCTCTCAAGGTTAAGTTTTATTGGTTATTGTAAAATTACGGTTTTCACGTGATAGTACCGGTTGGCCCAGAACAAATGGCCCTCCTTGTATTTTGCATTTAATTTCTTTTCTTTTCAATCCTTAGACCTGATCGTTTTACCAAAAGATGCGCCGTCGAATTCTCTACAAGACTTGATCAAACTTATTTCTAAACAAGTTAAGGAGAAAAATTAAGGATAATAAGGATTGAAAAGAAAAAAATTACAAGCAAAATATGAGGAGGGCCATTTATTCTGGGTCACCCGATATTACCAGAATTAAATATTTGAAGTTGCAGTATAATTACAATCAAAAGACAAAACTTACCGGGCAACATTTTTCTGCAACTTGTTCCGACCCCGTAAGCCCGAGCCCATGATATTTTTTTCTTGCCTCAAGCCCATAAGTTTCTTTTTGTCCCGACCCCGTGTGTCCCACGGGATGGGATTCGTGGCTGCTCCGCAGGAGTCTAGGCTCATTATATGTTGGTTGAAGTTGAACAAATGTCAGAATAATGACAACAGGAAAAAGAACAACAAGTAAAAAAAGAAAGAAACAAACAAATACAGTTTTGTCAAATATAAGACACGAATATTGATGAGATCGATTGAGACAAATTTTTTTCTTCTAGTCATCGTTAAAAAATCGTTAAATGATTTCTTTGTTTTTGATATGTAGAGTATTACGTCATTCTGATTGGTTAAGTTTCTCCTTCACAAAGCTTTAGTAGAGATAAGAAAGTGTTTCTCGGAACTCGAACCACGAATCTTCTTCTATCTGGGCAGATGTTCTGTCGCAATTAGAGTGAAAAGGACATTTTTAACTCTGTTTATTATCGGCATATATTATCAGCAATGTTAATAGTCATAAGAATTCTAAAAGTATATAATGTGAAGATACAAAATCCATTGTGAATGTGTCGATGAAAAATTAGTTTTATATTTCAAAGGAATCTGTTAACCGCTCTTTTTAGTATAGAAACTGAAGATTAAACATTGATTAACTTCAATGTAAATTTTATGAGTTTTCGAATTTCTATACTTAACCCTCAACATTTACATAAAACCTCAAAGATTTTGGTTCTGCAGTTGCCAAATAACGGTTTAGTGAATAGATCGTTTCAGCTATACGCTCTTTCTTCATTAGTGAATAATTATTTGTAGTTCAGATACACTGCATAAGGACTCGGAATCCGATATAAAAATTCGGAGAATCTTAAGAGAGCCTTCGCCAGAAAATCAAACTAAGTGCTAAACGATCGGCCGCTGGCAAATGGTCATAACCAATGGGAACTCGACCTGAAGTACGGTGCTTGTCGTAGAACCTGTGTATATTCGTTAAAAAGTATTGCAGAGGTCTCGCCAACATCTCATTTTGTATGAAAATGTTCCCTCTGCATTTGTAATGTCTCAGAAAAATTTTGTATATCCAGATTTTTGACATTTGCAACAAGTTTTAGAGAAGTAACAAAAGAGCACGGAGACTCTCTCAATAGTCTGATGAGAATCTCAGAATTGTAGGAGTTCTGAGTCCATCAATTTCTTTTTGTTTTTCACTTTCGAACGTCTTTTGATTCGCAGAGATAAATTTTTAAAATACGTAAAACTAATTATTTGTGGATGGAGATGAATATACATAGAAAATTAAGACGTGAAACGCATGAGCAAAAGTTTCAGTGAGATAGCATATACTTTCTCCAAATATGAACTTGTGAGAAAATGTCGTATAGTTTTCATTGTGCATTGAGATAAAAAATATGACTGTAATGTTTTTCCAATTAGTTTTGTTCAACTGCATGAAATACTCGTATCTGTGTCCTGTATAAAGATGAAGACATTGACAGAATATATCAGATAGTCTCAGTCGTGACTTTTCGCGATTAAGTATTATTACTTTCTTTTGAGTTTCTATTAATATCAACTGGAATGTAATATCTAAAGTTCATTTACCATACATTCAGTTTCGAGACATATATTTGAAAATCTATGAATTTATATTTACATGTTAAACATTAATAGTGTTTTTATTTTGTTATTAAATAGGTGCCCTAGGAGATATTCGATTCAGATATTCATCGGAATTGGCTATTAATAGTCCAATGTATTATCGAGATTGTGAAATACCAAAATGTTACTATGAAACTTTAGAAATAAATGTATTTACAACGGGTTCATATGTTCTTTGGAGTAAGAGCAGTGATATACACAATACATATGGTTATATCTACAAAGATGATTTCAATCTACTCGAACCATTAGAAAATTTACTCTTAGAACATAATGGCAAATGCAACGAAGGACAGTTTAAACTCATCATTGATCTCCAGATCCACACTAGATATGTATTAGTTGTGACAACGTATCATCCAATGA